GCAGGTTTGGCTGGCTTGAGTTGTGGGGATCCAACCACAGCAACCTGAGGCTGACTGCTTTGTTGAAGCAGCCACTTAAAGAACTGAGCTAAGGGGCAGGTCCCCCAATCGGCAGGTTTTTGAAAATAGCCAATTGGTAGGATTCTCACCGTGACTAACCATACATGCTGATACCTGTGAACCAAGCAACTGCACTGAAGATAGTAGTGTGCAATAGTAGGGTCATGTCTGGAATGCCTGCCATTCTGGCCCTCTAAACGTGTATTGTTTGTCATGACATACCAATCACTGCCATACTGTCTCTCAAGTCAATGTTTGTTTTTTAAAAAAAGGTAATAAATGAAAACAAGAATCAAGAACAAAAACATCACAGGACTGTCCTACTATAATGCCATACATGGTTAGATTTCTAAATTTCTATTTAAAAATATGTAATTGTTTATTCATATTTTAAATTTTTTTTCCTTCATATTCTGCACAGATCCAAAGTTCAACATATTAACACTCAATGGAAAACACCTGTTCCATGTCATGCCCAAGATTTTTTTTTCAAAATATATGATTCATTTATTTAATTACTTTTACTTTTAACAGAAAAAACAAAAACACATAATGAGAACAAAGACACCTATAATATTTAAATGATCGAACTTAACAAAAAAGGGGGATACAGATGAATGTACATTTTGTGTCTGTGTATTCAAAGTGGTTAGGATAGATATAAAGTTGCATTCTCTTAATGAATAGAGGGATTTGTTCTAATGGAGTTTGTAAATAGGATATCAAGTCCGCATCTTGTACAGCAATTAACCACTAGGAAGAATGTATGCAATGTGATAATTATTGAAACTGTCCTACTAATTTGGTTTGAAACTGTCTCATTGCTATTTGTTTCTCAATAAAATTATGGAAAAAAAAGACAGGTGAACTGCTCATGGCAGGACCAACAACATCAGAATAGCTGCTTATTGTGTTATTCAGAGGTTCATTTACATTTTCTATGAAAACTATCCATTGTCAGTGCTTTCCAATAGTAAATTTAAAAGAAAGTCATCAATACTGCCAAACATGTCCATTCCCAGAAACAGGTCAGAGGAACAAGGTAACTACCAGAATGCCAAGTAAAACAATTAATAATTTTCCTTATATGATGATATCCTAGAGGCAAAATAATGAATAAAACTAGTGTGTTTTATCGAATTTGAAAAAAATATGACATACATCTGCTTATTTGTACTTTCTACTACTGATTTGTAACTTTATTTTAACATCACATAAATAAAGCTCAGGTATTTTTCCCTTCCATAAGCAAACATTATCTTCTATGTTCTTCTAAACCTTATCTGTTCTACATTCAGAAACTTAGTGCCCACTAGTTGAATTCAAGTAGCCCTTCAAAATAATCAGTTATGCTCCCAAATTCAAAGCCCCAATGCAAAAATGGGCATCTGAGCTGAATGTGTTCTTCTCAGATGAAGAAATGCAAATGACAAACAGACACAAGAAAAAATGTGCAACATCACTTTTCATTCAAGAGATGCAAATTAAAACAACAGAGATTCTATCTAGCCCCAGAAAGAGTGGCTATCATCAAGAAATCAACCAACGGCAAATGCTGGCCCACCAGTGGGAAAAAGAAACCCTTCTCCACTGTTTGTGGGAGTCTAGACTACTGCAACCACTGTGGAAATGAGTAGAGATTCCTCAAAAAACTAGGATTAGAAGTCCCATTCGACCCCGCTATTCCCCTTCTGGATCTTCCAAGAAGTGTTAAAACCACCATTCCACAGGAAGGTGTGTACACTCCTGATTACAGCAGTGCAATTTGTCTATAAACAGACACCTTACTGTGAAATTTGCAAAAGCTATTAATAATCTGCTTATCTGTAGCAATGACCTGAACAGATCGCCTGTTCATCAAAGTACATTTGAGTAAAAACAAACACACTGATTTGAATGTGTCCCATGGCATGAATAAAATTTTCTGAGATCCACCATTTTATTTGCACCCTGTGCTTCCTACCCTTTATATTTTGAATGTGTGAATTAGTATTCACTGTGTAACTTGCTTTGCTGTGTACACATCATTGATAAAGGACATTCTTAGAAAAGGGAAAATAAGGGAAGGAAAGGTGTGTTAGAGCCAGCCAAATAGCTCAGCAGATGAAAGTGCCTGCAAGCAGGCTCAGGGGCTGGGGGTTTGATCCCCGGGCCTGCCGAGCCAGCCCTGCCCCAGGAGTGCTGCGCTGAGATGGCAATTGAGACTGGGCGTGGTGGCACGCACCTGTAATCCCAGCTCTTGGGAGGCTGTAAACAGTGGATCACTAGGAATCCGATCTAGTAGTGAGACCCTGAACACCCTGTAGACCTTTCCCTAAAATACAAAAAAAAAGGTGTGTTAGATAAAACAGTAATAATCAGATACATCACAGGTATAGATTTATTTAACATGAAATGTGAAGCTGGATAGATAAATTATGCTATTAGTAATATAGTTCCTAATTCAAGCAGGACAACTAATGTTCAGAATGAACTCTTTGTGGACGTGATATTGAATGTTGATTTCCAGTCAGTCAGGGCCAAGGTTCTTGCTATACAATGATGGCCGAAACTGAAAAACAGAAAAGCTTCCAACGCTTGGTCGGCAGGTTCTGCTTCAACCGTTCAGCTTCATCTTTAATATGAGGTCTTCAAATACTCTCTCCACCCAAAGCCAACTACGTAATGATAAACCTGCATTTTTTGTTCTTTTTACTTTAGTACAGTGTTTTTTTAAAGCTTTCACAGATCCTTTGATAGGGAATTCTTGACATAGAATCCTCATTTTTACCATTTATTAGCTTATTGCCTTATATACATTTCTCCTATTATAAAGCAAACAAGCTTCAGTGAGGTATTTGATACATTGAATATCAGTGCTGTAGAACATTCAGATTTAGCTTGGAAATATTCCTATTTTCTAACATAAAGAGAAGATAATTTTTTGAAAAAGATGCTTTCAGAGGCTAAATGTGAAAGTGAACATCTTAGCAATTGCTGACGCTCTCCGAAGAGACTCAGTGTAGGGCTTACAGGTGTGCGACCAGGTCCAGCTGTCACGCACACTTTTGAAGCACAAAAGTACCTATTTAAAATACCTACTGTATCTAGCACAAAATACTGTGGAAACAAATCAACAGCATATGAAAAATTAAGAAATAAAGTCAATATTTTATCCAAGATCATATGGCTAGTGAAGGAGAACTCTAGAGCCCAAAGAAGATCTTTCTCACTACAAATTTATATGTGTGCTAACAGAGCCATTCTTTTTCTTCATATATTATCAGTTTTTATGAAGTGACTAATGATTACACTAAAATATATTTTTCAAGGGCCTTTATTTTATCACTTCTTAGAGAAAATAGATATAATTAGTGGTGCTATTATTATTCACATCTTCATTTCTTAATTTTTCATACACTGGGGAGGCTGAAGCAGCAGCATCTATGGGAGTTTGAAACCAGCCTGGGCTGCAAAGTAAGTTCAAGGCCAGCCTGAGTTGCACAGAGAGTCCTTGTCTCAAAAAATCAAATAAACAAAATAAATAAATAAGGACCAGGGAGATAGTTCAGCAGCATAAACACCTGCCTGGTAAGCAAGAGGTCCTGAATTCAATCCCCAGTACCAAAAAAAAAAAACCTAACTAAATTAATGAATAGTAAAAGTATGCTTTATAAAACAATATATGTGGAGACAGACTGACAACATACTACTTTTACAAAACTTTGATATAGAATATGTAAAAATCATTATACATTACCGCTCAATTGTAGCAACCGGACAACAAAAAATAATATGTAGTCATTGCTCTTTTTTTTGTCAAAGTTTTCAGAATAGTTTGTTGGTAAAATAATTTCTTTAATTTTAATTTCTTTTCTATTTCTGTAAAAGAATGAAAATTTTGGTCAGGGAAAATTATGTTTTAAAAACAGTCAAATAACTTCTGCAGATAATCTTATTCTAGTAGAACCACAGACGTAACTCTTGCCGGGTCATTGTCCTTAATTTAATAGTTCTTGAAGCACGTCCTCGGTCAGTGCAATGCTGTCATTCCTGCAATGTCAGTGATAATGTTATAAATTAAACTTTACTGCTCCAAAGTGCTAATTCGGGTTTTAACAAAAACTCTGAAATGCATTATAATTCAGATTTTAAAGACAACTTGAACTGCATTTCTCATTTGTAAAAATATTCTTATTCTATCATAAACATAAGATTATGATGTGGTAAATGTCACATATAATATCCAAAAGCATACAAAGCCATCACTTGTTCATTTTTTTCTATCAAACAGATTATACTAAATCTTATTTACTGCTTTGAAGTAAACGAGAGTTATTTCTACTGCATGAAAAATTAAAATTGAAAGGGGAT